TATAGATTTGCTGGAATGTCACGGGTGGAATTATTGACACATAAACCAGAAAGAAAAGAGACCCAAGGACGGATCCCTGAGGTATGCCGGATTTAAGTGGCGTGGACGGCGAGTTGGTACCACCGTCTATAATATCGCGCCCGGTGAATATTTCTCCCAATTTCAAAGCCTGACCAGGGATGCGTTAGTTGATTAGCACTAATTAACAAACTAGTAAATAACTGTAGCTACCATGTAAGTTGTAAATCTCGCGAATGTGCTGTAAATTCAGGGGTCTATGGGGCACATACTTCGAATGTTCATTTTGTTTTGTTTTGTTTCCCTGGGAGGTTGGCTCATACCCACTCAGGGGGATTGGCCAAGAAAGTGTAGTGCAGTTTTTCTGTGATCATTTTAACTATGTGCAATGAATTGGTATTATAATAAGACTAATGTAAAAATAAAAACATCATAAAAAGAGCAAACGAAAAAAATCAAGTTGAGCAATTTTGAGATTTGAGGTGTTATGTTTACCACTCAGCTGCGTTTACTTCACTCTGCCCTTGAGAGTAATAAACATTTTTTTTTATTGAAGATCACAAAGGTATACGCTTGGTTGCCTGGATATAACCGCAAACGGCATTGAAAGCATCCCTGTGGCAATGTCCCAAAGCTGAGGCGCCAAAGCTTAGCGCCGTTTCCGCCGTCAATCTAAGGCCTATTTTCCGAAATGGCATAACTAGTAACCTTTTTCTAAGTTTCTCGTAGCGGCGACAATACAAAAAAATAATGATCTAGTGATTCCATTTCTCCGCAGATTGCGCAGAGGGGTGATGTTGTCTGACCAGCTCTGTGTAGATACAGGTTTAGGGGGGGACTTGAACTGGTATAGCGCATTACGGGGAAGAAGAAACGGCCGAGCAGACCGACACAAGAGGACAGAGCGCTAACTTCCAACTGAGCTTTATTGTCAAATTGCATCAAATAAGTAGACCGGCGCAAGCATACAAAACCACCCTAACGCAACGACAAGATAACACACAACATCACACCGTCACATATCACACATTCATAGGCGGTTACTCTGATTAAGGAAGGCCACTTCATGTTCAGATAAACACAAAGAAGGGGCACTAATACACGTGCTGCCAGCTCTTGCTATACAATGCGCTTCTATAATTTCCCGAGTTAATTGCGACGGGTGCTTTTTTATCACTTCACACTGGTCAAACATGGGGGTACATCCACAATCGCGACAGTGAATTCCAATGTGGCCCTGGATTGCTTTGTGAGCATTATAATGGTGCTCTTTTAGCCTTTCATTAAGGCATCGCCCCGTTTGGCCGAAATACCACATACCACACGAGAATGGAATCGCGTAAACAACCTCCACTACACACGGCACAAACCGAGTTTTGTGCTTAGTTGCGCAACCAGTGGTGTGTGATTTGAGAGGTTTGACAGTCGCAATTAACTCGGGAAATTATAGAAGCGCATTGTATAGCAAGAGCTGGCAGCACGTGTATTAGTGCCCCTTCTTTGTGTTTATCTGAACATGAAGTGGCCTTCCTTATTCAGAGTAACCGCCTATGAATGTGTGATATGTGACGGTGTGATGTTGTGTGTGTTATCTTGTCGTTGCGTTAGGGTGGTTTTGTATGCTTGCGCCGGTCTACTTATTTGATGCAATTTGACAATAAAGCTCAGTTGGAAGTTAGCGCTCTGTCCTCTTGTGTCGGTCTGCTCGGCCGTTTCTTCTTCCCCGTAATGCGCTATACCAGTTCAAGTACGATGAACCAACTCGCCCAATCTTCAACACTCGTAGGGGGGGACACGACATCGAAATTTAGTAATTAAGACTTCGAGCTTTCTGGACTGACTCCAGTGGGGTTGCCATGGAAACATGAGGTGGTTATAGTCTGTCCATGTAATTACTTTTTCTATCGTATCAGTGGAGAATGCTGATTTTCGATATCTTATAGCCGTGATATATTCTACATCTGGCAGTATGGACAAAACTGGCCCATCAAGTGCGGCTCGTGCTAAAGAATCGGCCAATTCATTTAATCTTAATCCACAGTGACCCGGAACCCATAGTAATCTCAGGAGTCTCAACTGCGGCGGTACTAATGTTTTGAATGTGCTTAGAATTCGAGAGTTCTCTGAAGCTGTCAGAGCTGCACAAACTGAAAGAGAATCCGTCATTATTATTGCATTGTTTTGATTTGATGGAAGTTTTCGAAGAGCTAAAGTAATCGCCAAGAGCTCCGCTTCAAAAACTGGAGTAAAATCAGTCAGTCTCACTGAAAAGAACCAGTCAAGCAAATCAGAGGCAATGCCTACACCTGCCTTTTGATTATTTACGGAAGCATCTGTGGCTATTATATTTTTAGTTTTTGCATGCTCCAAGTAATCTAATAATATGTTATTTAAAAATTTGAGGGATTGTAATTTGGCGTTTTGGGGCAATATATCATCATACTCAATAATAACATGACAAATCGAGTCATTAGTCTCAATTACATTTCTAATGTTCACATTTATACTTTGTAGATATTTTTGTACAAACATTATCTGAGGTGTGTGAAACCATGGCCAATGAGCAAGAAAGAAGGCGTCTGGGTTTGCGATAAAAGCATATTGAGATCTTCTTGCCGGTAAGCTATAAAATTTTAAAAATGCTTGTACGGTCAAAATTCGAAATTGACAAAGTAGTGTAGGCAGGCGCGCTTCCTGGTACAGTACGTTGATAGCCACAAATCTAGGGAGTCCCAGACACATTCGCAGTGCTTCTCGCTCCAAGAGAACTAGAGGTTTCGTTTTATAAGCAGGGCCACCCGAGAATAATATGCAGCCGAATTCCATGATGGAATGTTCGGATACGCGCACTTCGTCTTTTTTTTCTTTAAATACCCTATTTATGTGCTATACTATCGATCTTTACCTCAACGAATCCTAAATATTATTTCACGAGGTCATGAATGTGCCTTCCATAAGAATGCTCTCTTTTTACGCGTACCCCATTTTAATATTTACGTGGCACCGTAAAGTACACTATCTCAACGCTAGATGGAGCTACGAGGGCTTGATGGCTGTCGCACCCTGAAGAAAACTGGCCAGGGAACTTTTTTTTACCACACAATTCAAACACACTCTATACCAGCATAAACTAGATATATGCCAGTACCTAAATCCCAGAAAGCAATTGGATATCTTCAAGCACGTCTCCAGGGCAGCGATTCAAATGCGGTAAAACAGCCGATATTTCTGAGAGCACCCATAGGCGCTGTGCATTATTTTTTAATAAGCTAGGGAACTCGCACTATTTCTACTACAATACTGTAACTCCGGCAGAAGGAAGGTTTATGCAGTTGCCACTTGAAACCGTGAAAGCAATGAGAAAATCAGAAAGGGAGAGGAGTTATTACTTTTTTTCTCTACGGTCCCATAGAGTGACGTGGGGCCCCGCCTCCACCGTGCGGGAAAGCGCGCCTCCTGCTAGTGGCCCGGAACACTGGGGACGTTGAAACGTGCTCCGCGCTTTCCGCGCAGAAATTACGCACTAAACGTACTCACAAATGCACGCGAATAAGCGTCTCATTTCTTACTTTGCTGAGTCTGAAAAACGCGCGCTTTTCGCGAACGGAGACTGCAATGATTGCAGTGACCTTTGTGCACCCGGTAACTACAGCAGCATAGTTCCTTGTAGAGCCAGAGGCCATCCAAGGTAAATGATTCTCCGCTCCTCGCCCCTGCGAGTTAGGGGCGTGCGAGGGAGCTGTGTGATGTGGCGACGTGCGATCATTGCGCCATCTTTCGGGTAATGCCAAAAACGGAGCAGCGGGAAATAGTAGATAAAGATAGCTTGCCGTTTAACGGTGAATAACGTTATCCTGGGTGGCTTAGTGGTTAACGCCTCGTTTTCACGACGCAGAGGTCCCACGTTCGATTTCGCTTGCTTGAGTGCTTTCTTCGGAATTTTTTTTAGCGTTTTCAGATATATAGATACGTATACATATACGGTGCATGATATTGACGCTGACACTGGCGTCAAAATTCAGCCGAGGGTGCCTATATCATAGCAACCGCAATGAAATAATGCAAAACTCATGCCATATGCCTAAGTGAAAATGACCAATACACCCACTAGGATGAGTATCTTCCAATTCTTTAAGCACTTCAAAGTTTAGAAATAATTAGGCATCACTTAAATTCACACATACAGCATCACAACTTTTGAACAAACTACCCACAGACGTAACTAAACCACAGTGACCTACATATTACAAAACCAACCTACTTTCTTGCCGCGCCTCTAATAAAAATGCCCCGTATGGCTGCCCTTGCACTCTTTTCTCACATGCTGTAGTGTTTGTACAGCAGAAGATGGTATAAGAGCCCTCTTACGGAAGTTACGGGAGACTAGCTGGCTTTATAACGTAACTGATGTTGGGGAAAATCGTAGACGAAACGGCAGACTCAGTATACATCAGTGGCCTCTTTCACCAGGTCTTCCATTAAGTTGACATCTGAAAATCAAGCTTATGATCGCGAGCTATAGTTCACAGTGAACAATAACCGCAAAACGTAGCTTGAAAATGCGCTTTCGTACGCAACCGTGCCTCAGGTTCTCATCTCTCTGACCATGTTTTTGCACAAGTGTTCCCTGGAATAAACAAAGTGGCACGGAATATTCCACATATCTAGGAACAAGTCATACAATTGCAAAACACGTTTTTATTCACTAGGCATTAGTAGTTATTCGCCTCTTCAATTGGTAAGCTCTCCATGCCACTGCGATATGGGTAGTTTTGTAATTGCTCTGAGCGTTGCACTTGCACCGCCCGACATGCCTGTTTGTGATTTACTTTTTCAGCATAATTTCTTTGTTAGCACACGCTAGTATTCTAGCTATCTTAAGTTGTATGTATTTCTGCCTTCAATCAGCTTTTCTGTGCAATGGTCATTTGAGAAACAGCGAGACTTTCTTGAGAAAAAGTAAAATCAGGTGTATCGCTTACGGGAATTGACGTATCCACCACAGGTTTTCCAATGCCACAGTACAGCTGCTCATTTCGGCATGATGTAGCTCGGACGGGCCACTGAGGAACACTCGGTCGTCAAGAGTGTTCGAGAGATGTTCGTGGGTCAGCACCTTGCCCAGCTGCGATGGTTCTACGGGTCCCAGCACTGAGCGACAGAATGCAAATAAAGATGAAGTGTAATAAAGCCAACCTAACAAAAGACAAGCTCCCCTAAGCTATCCTGAGCTTGAAGTGAAACTCGTTCGCTTGTCTCCACCTACCCTAAAAAGCACGACAGTTTAAGCACGGACGAGATCAGTGCTCCGTGGCCTTAGTGTTCTTGTGTTTAGTTATCGTCATGACATGTCTACTGGGCGAGGCCTTGCGCATGCTTGGCATACAGGCACGTGCACGTATACACACATCATAATATATACAAATGAATATTGTGATGACGAAGACCGACAGAGGAGCTCTGGCACAGACGCACCCACTAAGCGAGTGAAGTAGAAGGGGGGAGAAGAGAGAGAATTGACTAGCATGCTCGACCAACTGGTGTTTTTTTCTGTCTAAGCCGAAACAAATACGACCTGCCCGCGCAGATAAGAAACGAAATATATCTTTACCTGTCAGAGCAACATCCTCGGCTATCGCAGCCATCACCACAAGAACGCGGAGACAGTGACCTGCTGCGGAACACTGCCCCTCACATGGAAGACTCGCCCGTATGGCGTTAGTTTCTTTCCTAAGCTATGGTCGCCGAGCGGGATGTCTCGTTGGTGCATAATGATCTCTCACCTTTCACATGTTCAGGTCCCACATGTTGAATTGAATTCAACTTTATTTGTCCTGAAATTCTTACAGGATCGGGAGCAGAGGCTAAAGGCTATATAGCCTGACATGGGGCCTCTGCTCCTAAATACAGTTTGGCACGCAGGCTGCTTAATCTGTCGCATTATTTTTCAGAAATAAATATATAACACAACAAATACTACACAAAAATAAATAAATACACAATAAATAAACTATAACACAACAAAACTTAGCATGGTCTTGTTACACAATTTCAGGGAAAACATTAGAAAATCACTAAATCACAAAGGCGTCATCTGAAAAGAAACTTCATCAATACAGAATGTAAAATAAAGCATCAGAAAAGAAACTACAACACATAATTCAAATTGATAGATAGGATGTAACAAATCAAGTACAGAAACTTTCATGAGCATACTCAATGTCATGGTTCATTAGGATGGACTTGATAATAGTGTTCTAAGGTGCGGAATTGAAATCTTTGAGACCATGTAAACGATTTAACATTGTGGGTATTTCATACTGAACGTGTTGCTTGCCTTAACTTGTCCTTATTGCTGGGATTTTCCGATGTTCCTGACGTATGGTACAATGAGTGTTGTCAGGCGGGTTCTGAAGACACATTGGCTTGTTTTGTTTAATCCACTGTAGAAGTTTGAAATGATACAGCTTTGTTACCTTAGTAATGCGTATATTTCAAAGAGTGGTTTGGTTTTAAGTCCTCGATAATACCATGGTATTTGTCAAATGCTCGCAAAACTCTTTTTTGCAGAACTAGTAATTTTTGATAGTTTGTTTGTGTAGTAGTACCCCATACCAAGATACCGTGTGTCATTTTAGAGTAGAAAAGGGCATAATATATTTCTAATTGTGAATATTTCTAATTGTGACAGCGCTTAGCTTTTCTCGTATGCACATATATATATATATATATATGTGTGTGTGTGTGCCTACAAGGAAAGCTAAGTGCTTGAAAGGTTGCAAACCAAAGCTGAGGTTTGATCGTTCATCATCGTTCATCAGTGCCACTAGGGCTGTTGTTCCGTCTTCATGCCTTAGCAGATGAAGGTAACGTGTGTGATTGGATGATGCCATCAATGATGCATCCAACCATCTCACTATTTTAGCAGGCCTTTAGTCGAGATAACCCGTCCGCAAGGACATGAACCACTGCTCGTGGCATCACGACGGGTCCAGCGCGTGTTAGTGCGACCATTAAGAGGCAGTAAATTTTGTCCACCTGAGACTAATGAACCAGATTCTCGTGCGTTGTCGCAGTATTCCCGAAAATGCTTATCAATGTCCGCATCGAAAAAGTTTCAGGCAAATAGACAACTTGTGTCACACATCGGATGCGATTCGGGCAGGTATCTCAACCGAGTGTCAGCGTGGACAGGACAGATCACCCCGGTGCAGCGAACACAGCCTAACGGGGACATCGCGGGCAAGTCCTCATAAGTTTCCACATGGAATAAACCAAGCCGAGTGACAGAGCCTATACTGGCCACCAAACAACACACGATAACATGCCTAGGCATGATCGCGACGTGGCTGGTTCCGACCGCTGCGGTGAAGCTAACATCAGCCACCAAAAACATTGTCGCGCGGCCCATCGACAATGCCTGCAGTCATCATGGTGGCCGAGTGGGATGATGAACACCGACGCTGACATATATATTATATATATATATATATATATATATATATATATATATATATATATATATATATATATATATATATATAGTATGGCGCGAAGCCTTTAAACTGTGGGTCGTCCTTTTCGTAGAAGGAATAGCAGCTCGTGCAGAGAGTTGGTCCCCACACCCCACATTGACTGTCACCATTTTGTATGCTTGCTGTGTGCCGGATAATAAACGCTCTAACAATTTGGTGGAGAGTGCTGAGAGTGCTGTGTCCTTCAAACACCTTCTGTTCACATTCGATGCTCTTGGAGCTTTGATCCCGTATCATGCCTTCTACCATGCACCAAGACGCCGCTCAGTAAACGCTTCTTCCTGCGCCGACGCCATGTAATGGTGTCCCCCGCATCGGCGACCCTCCTGTATTCACCAGCGCGAATGGCACCGACGCCGAGAACTGGCTTGCCATCTACGAACGTGTCAGCATCCCCAATAATTGGGACGATAAAGGTAAACTCGGCAACCTGGTATTGTACCACATGCTGGCCCCACACGCGAGGTAGAAAACCAGGTTGCCGAGTCTCACCTTGCCATTTCTTCCATTAGAATTCATGCCGTTGCTACTAAACAGCGCAAAGATCAATGAATTGCCTCACTGGCAGACTTGCTGACTGATCTATCTACTCCATCCACTCACGCGTTGCGTCGTCAAGCCCACCATTTCGCCGTTCGTGACGACATCTTCCACCGACGCAATTACAACGATGACGGCCGCCAGAGGCTACTAGTCATACCCCGCAAACTACGCATTGACATGTGTGAATTCTTTCACTCTGATCCGCAATGTGCGCACTTCGGGGTATCGCAGACTTACCTTCGCATTCGCCAACGGTACTTTTAGTGCGGCATGTACCGCTACGTGGAAAAATTTGTTCGCTCCTGCACAGATTGTCAGCGCCGCAAAACGTTCAACGCGCCTGTCGCCGGTAGGTCTGCAACCTCTACCTTGCGCTGCCAGGTCATTTGGGCGCGTTGGCATTGATTTGTATGGGCCACTTCCGCTAACGTCGGCTGGTAACCACTGGGCCATTGTCGCTGTGGACCACCTCACGCGATACGCCGAAACTTCCGCTCTTCCCGCGGGGTCCGCGAGCAATGTGGCCTCCTTCCTGCTCCAACGATTCATGCTGCGACACGGTCCACCTCAGAAACTGCTCAGTGATCCAGGCTGTGTCTACCTGTCTGAAGTCGTCGAAGCCATTCTCAAAGAGTGCAACGTTGTTTACCGCGAAACTGCTGCTTACCACCCGCAGACAAATGGCCTCACCGAACGCTTCAACCGTACGTTCGGCTACATGCTCTCCAAGTATGTCGCCGCCGATCACACAAATTGGGCTGCCATTCTACCCTTCGTCACCTACGCATATAATACCGCTCCTCAGAGCACTACAGGCTTTTCACCTTTCTATTTATTACATGGAAGGCACCCGTGGCACACCATCGACACGATACTTTGTACAAGCCAAATCCGTCCAAGTGGGCGCCTATTTCTGCTACAGCCAAGCTTGCTGAAGAGTGTCGAGAGCTTGCAAAGACCTTTACTGCGCATGATCAAGAGCGGCAAAAAGGCATTCGTGCTGACACCAGCACTATTGCGCCCTCATTCCTCCCTGGAACGCTCGCCTGGCTCTCGATTCCTACCACTGCAACTGGATTATCTTTAAAACTATTGCCCAAATACGAAGGCCCCTGCCGTGTCGCCGAACGCAATTGTCTGTAAACTAGTCGATCGAACCTGTAGCGCCCTCGATCGGGCGGCGCGCAAACCGGAGAGCACGCGATGATGACAGAAGAAAATAAAGAAGGCGCTAGGCCGTGGCACGTGAAGCCTCGGCTCGCGTTCCGGGTTGGCATCGGTTATCGTTCGGGCGTGTCTCTCTTTCGCTCCTGTGGCATAAGCCTACTAGTGGTGACCCGGACGAAGACAATGACTGACTCGAATGCACCCTCAACCGAACAAGCCTCACGTCCGCAGGACGTCTCGGCCATGCAACTGCGTCTCCCATCTTTCTGGCCCCAGGACCCGCAAGTTTGGTTTCATCAGGTCGAGGCGCAATTCTCCCTGTACCGCATCGCCTCGGAAACGACACGCTACTACCACGTAGCCTCTGTCTTTCCTCCTGACGTTGCCAGCGAGCTCTCCGACGTCCTCTCCAACCCCTCGGACACTACGCCATATCAGCACCTTAAAACCAAGGTGCTGGAATGATTCATGCCTTCGGAACGCGTCCGCCTACAGCAGCTCCTTGCAGAGGGGGACCTTGGCGACAGGTGCCCCTCCCAACTACTGCGCCGAATGCGACAGCTTCTTGGGAAACACGACGTCTCTGCCCACTCAGCGTTGCTTCGCGAGCTCTTCCTCCAACGCCTTTCTCAGCCAATCCGCCTCGTCCTCGCGGCGGCCGGCGACGTCAATCTCAACCGCCTGGCGGAGCTCGCCGATCAGGTTCATGAAGCGACCTCCCCATCTGTCAACGCTGTCTTACCACCAGCAGACACAGCGATTTCGCGCCTTGAGGCCCGCATCGACGAACTCGCCGCCTCCATTGCCGCACTCCGGAGCCCCCTGCAGGAGACTCGTTCGCCTCGTTCCGGTCGTCGAGCTCTTCCACGCACACGAGATGCTCGGAGTCCCAGCCCTCCACCCCTC